GAATGCCACGGACACTTTCTGCAGGATGAAAGATTACGGGTTTCTGCCGACGGTTGAGTCCTGCAATGCCTACATTAGCTCTTTGCTTCATCTCCATAGAGTTGATGTTGCTTTTGCGTTCTATAGAGAAATGCGTCGGTATCGGATTTCGCCGAATGTTTTTACTCTTAATATGGTGATTTGTGGGTATTGTAAATTGGGGAAAGTAGATAAGGCTGCTGAGGTTTTTGGTGAGATGGAGAACATGGGTGTCAGCCCGACTGTTGTGTCTTATAATACGTTGATATCGGGGTACTGCGATAAGGGTATTTTGAGCATGGCTATGAACCTTAAAATTCTGATGGGGAAGAATGGGGTGCAGCCAAATGTGATTACTTTTAACACCCTTATTGACGGGTTCTGCAAAGATGGGAAATTGCACGAAGCAAATAAACTTTTCAGCGAAATGAAGGCGATAAAGTTGGATCCGAATACTGTAACCTACAATACTTTGATAAATGGGTACAGCCAAGAGGGTAATTCGGAGATGGGCGGTAGGCTTTATGAGGAGATGTTAAGGAACCGAGTGAAGGCTGATATCCTGACTTATAATTCCTTAATTTTGGGTCTATGCAAGGAGGGCAAGACCAAGAAAGCTGCACATCTGGTTAAAGAGCTTGATAAGAAGAAGTTAATTCCAAATTCATCTACCTTTTCTGCCCTTATTAGTGGGCAATGTCTGAGGAAAAACTCCGACAGTGCCTTTCAACTGTATAAAAGCATGGTAAGGAGCGGCTGCACTCCTAATGGACATGTTTTTCAGATGTTGATAAGTATTTTCTGCAAGAATGAGGATTTCGATGGAGGAGCTGAAGTCCTGAGAGAAATGTTTGACAGATTCGTGGTTCCTGATTTGGATGTCTTCTATAAGCTTTGTGCAGGACTATGCCGGGTCGGGAAAGAGAAATTGGTAATGTTGTTATGCTCTGAGATGGAAGCAAGGCGCCTTGTACCTGAAGGTTTTGACAGAAATAAGATTATCTGCTCTGGACTAACGAATGAGAGCAAAGCATTTGGAGCTGACTTATAACATTCAAAAACTCCATTTCTTTTTCACGTATCAAGCGAGGCCTAGTTTTACAGAGAATGTGGCACGTACATTTCGTCATAGGGTATAACTTTTTTATTTGTATTTGCTAATATCAGATAAGATATTTGCATATAAAGTTAAACTTCGTTATCTTATCTTTTAGTTGGGATTTCTGCAAAACCTTGTCAAGCTTCATATTCAATTAGTAGGGTCGTCTGTAAAAATAGTTTCGTTTGATTTAAAAAGCAGTTCAATGAATTCCCATTTTCCTATGGCGTCATTCCACTGTTGTTGATAGATGAGGCGTCTTTTTTTTGGTAGAAAAGATAGATGTGTTTACAACAGACATGATCGTTTTACTTAATAAATTCGATGCGCAATATCTCAGCTAAAATTGTTTATGATAATTCAGATGCTGGTTCCGAAAGGCATCAATCCTGCTGAGGTCTGTGTTTGATATTTTGCAAAAATCGTCTAGCTGATATTTTTACTGCACGATAGGAAATTCAACTCAGTTTCATTGCTAAATACAATTGAAAAAGAAGATGCGCAACAGTTTCGAACTTGATGTGATTCAGTTGTCATGTGTTGCATTGTAGCTAATTTTGACATGTCTCACTCTCATCTACTTTAAGGTTACATAGGGGGTGGCAATTAAGCACAGATTTTTGTTCCTCCTGCTGGATGTGCCGAATATCTCAGTCATGTCAAGTTCTTCTGGTGTAGCACCATCAGGAAGTTTCCAGTCAAAGTGGTACAATAATTGTGCAAGTGCTAGTTCAATATTTGCGCAAGCAAATGAAATGCCTGGGCAATTTCTTCTCCCAGTCCCAAATGGAACAAATTCGAAGTTTTTACCTTTGAAATCAATGGAAGAACCAATGAACCTCTCTGGCTGAAAACAATTTGCATTACTCCAAACTCCTGGGTCTCTTCCTATGCCCAGACATTGATAATGAATTTTGCTTTATCTGGTATCTCATATCCAAGAATTTTGCAGCTCTCTTGATTCTCTTGTGATCAAGGGAGCTGAGGGTGGGGGAATAATCGAAGTGTTTCTTTGACATCGAATTTCAGGTAATCCAATTTCTGAGTGTCGGCTTCTTTGACTTTCCTCTTTTCTCCCATCAGTTGTCCTATCTCAGCTTGTGCCTTCTCCATTACTCTTGGGTTTCTTAGTAGTTCTGCCATGGCCCATTCTAAGGTAGCTGTGGCGGTTCCAGTGCATGCCGCAAATATATCCTAGAAAGCATTTGAATCAACATTGAGTTACACCTAGTATAGTGATCTCATCATAATTTCATGAAAGAATCTAGTCTGTTAAAAAAAAAAAAAATTAAAAATGTAGATAAGAATACAGAAGTACAGAAGTCTGAAGATTGTACCAAAATCACAGCTTTATGTGATGGGATGTGATTTCAAATTTGAAACATCAACTATATCTTCCTCACCGGTTTCATTGTCCTTGTCCGTATTGTTTGTTGATTTATTCTTCAAGTGATGATCACTAATAATGTCATCAAGAATCTTGTCTTTTTTTTTTTTTTTTGGTATATTTTCTGCATTGCAGAAGGCGGGCCTTGGCACTGTGGTGGGAGCGCTTGCGTTTGCACCTGAGATTCAAGGTTCGAATCCCGGAAACGGCCTCTCCTTCGGGGGGTAAGGCCGCGTACATATGGAATTGAGCTTTCTCCCGAGCCTGTTATAGTACGGGAGCCTCTTTGGCACTGGGGTCCGCCTTTTTATATTTTCTGCATTGCAGGCTTCATTCCAGTCAGAGTACTAAGGAACTGAACAGAAGGGAACAAATCAGCCACCGTAAAGCCTGAATTAATTGTCACTAATTCCTCGAGTAATGACAAGGATATGTCTTGTCCTCTCTCCTCTGCACTTCTTACCAAATGCTGCCTTCGAAGTCGCAGAATTTGTCAAGGAAACAGACACTTACTCATGTTGAGGGGAAGGCCATGGGAAGAATAGATTTCAAATGAGGTTCCATGCTACTTCTTCTCCTACTGAACTTTAATGGCAATTTTATTAAGCTGCCATGTCTAGCATACTTTTCTGGGCTTCCAACTGAACATCAAGAAAAATAAATGTATTGGCATTTTCATTAAGTACATCCCAGTAGATTGTGGGTGAGTGGATTGAAGTGGAAAACCCAAACAAAGAAAGAACAAGAAAATCTGTTACAAACTTGCAACTCTTAAGTTTTTCCCTTGCTTTTTTTGGGTGATTGATTGGAAACTATTTAAGGTTCACTCCACTTTCTCATTCCCATGTTGTTCTTTGATGCACATACTGTTAATTACAATGTAGTTTTCTCAAACACATAAATATAATATACTTTATTTATTGCATTGGTGGCCACGGGAAAACCACTAACTAAGGTTTTAAAGCTTTTGCAAAGGTTTTGTTAACCTATGCTACTTATTTCTGCTCACAAATTAACACATACTATCCAATTTGATGTTCTAATCATTAAATACAGGGGACAAACGGGGTGGCAATTGTGTAAAGATTGTTTTTCATCCTACTGGTTGCGCCGAAAGATCCGGTCATGTCAAGTTCTTCTGGTTTGGCACCATTGGGAAGCTTCCAGCAAAAATGGTGCAACATATGAGCAAGTGCTAGTTCAATATTCGCGGAAGCAAACGATATACCAGGACACATTCTCCTTCCAGCACCAAATGGAAGAAACTCCCTTTGAAATCAATGGAAGAATCAATGAATCTCTCTGGATGAAAGCAATCAGGATTGCTCCAGATTTCTGGATCTCTCCCTAGTGCCCAAACGTTGACTATTACTTTTGCCTTTTCGGGGACTTTGTATCCGAAAATTTCACATCTTTCCCTTGATTCTCTGGGGACCAAGGGACGTGGAGGGTGTAGCTAAAGTGTTTCTTTGACTGTCAATTTCATGTAATCCAATTTGTGAATGCCTGTCTCTTCCACTCTCTGCTTACCTCCGAACACCTGTCGCACCTCGGCTTGTGCCTTGTTCATCACTCTCTGGTTTCTCAGCAGCTCTGTCATAGCCCATTCTAAGGTAATTGCTGCAGTTTCACTGCCTGCTGCAAACATGTCCTGCACAATGTTTGAAGTGCATTAAGTAACATATCTGCAAAATATTTATTTCACCTTGAATTTTATGCAAAACAATCTCTGTTTTTCTTTTCTTTTTGATAAAATGAAAAAAAGTAAACAAGCACTTCTATTTGTCCCGAGGGAGTTTTAAGCCCATTCAGATGTGTCGACATGTTGTAAGCCAAAACGCCTTTTTGTTTTTTTTTTTTCAACTTTTTGTTATAGAAAAATGGTGACTACATATAAATATCGATTTAAAAAGAGTAGGTTTTTGAGTAAGAATAGCGTTGCAGAACATTTCCCAAGACGAATAAGAAATCTTATAATAAAAGAAGCGCAGTTGTCTAAAAAAATAACATACCGAAATCACAAATCTAACGTGATCAGTCGTGAGTCTGAATTTTAACTCGTTCGATTCTCGGAGTGTCTCGTTCACTTTGTGGATTCGAGTTTTCAATTTAATGTGAAATGTAACATTTTCTGATAGTTTTTTACTGTAGCAGAAAAGTTAGATGTGACATTTTTAGATAAATTTTTACTGTATAAATTTAAAACTGAAAACTCGAATCAGTGAAATGAACGAACTCTCGTCACATCAACTAAATCTCTCTCATGAAATGATTGATCATCCTTGCTCTCCGTGGGCTTAATCTTGTAGTCATGGTCACTAATAATTTCATCAAGAATCTTGGCAAGTTTCTGGTGTGCTCTCTTCACTTTAAGCCCCATTCCAATGATGAAATTTACATTCAAATTCAAAAAAAGTTTAAATTCAAGTTACAAAATTTGAGTTTGAACTTTAGTTTTAATTTGAGTTTTAACTTGAGTTTTGGATTAAAATCTGAGTTTAAGTTCCTGCTTAAACTCAAGTTCTTAAACTTAAACTCAAGTTAATTAACAGTATTTTCTATTCTTAAACACAAACTTAAATTAGAGTCTCAACTCAAATCATACTCAAAAACATCTTAACTCAAATCAAGATCTGAACTCAAGTCATCCTAACTCAAAAAATGCAAATGAACAAACCCTAAGAAACTCAACAGAAGGGAACAAATCAACCACATGAAATCCTGAACCAAGTGCTAGTAGTTCCTTAACTAACGATGCAAATTCCTCTTGAGCTCTACAATTCTTTCCAAAAGCAGCCCTTGAAATCACAACATTTGTGAAGGAAACAAACATCTCTCAAAGGTTGATGGGAACTCCATTAGAAGAGTAGATGGATTCAACAAGGTTCCAAGCTTCTTCTTCTCTTATCGATCGAAATGATTGGACACGCTTTGCATTCAAAAGCTATGAGGCGCAAACTTTCCGCATTTGTCGCCAATATTCGCCGTAAGGCGAGAAGACAACACCCAGATGATCGTGTGAAATCATCTTAACTATAAGAGTGCTTGGCCTTTGGGCAAAAACAAGCTCATTTGTGTGCAACACCTCTCTTGCTACTTCTGGTGATGAAATCACTATAGCCAAAACCTCACCCAACTCTAGCTTCATAATGGGTCCATATTTTTTTTGCCAAGTTTCTCAAGGCATAATGCGGCAGTGGACCGGCTGGACCAGCTAACTGATGCCAGTTTCCGATAACCGAAAGCTTCCAAGGTTGTGGGGGTGACTTAGAAATTGGACTTTTGGTTGTAGAACTCTTGAAAAACATCAGAAGTAGAAATAGCAAGAACAAGAGAAGAGTGGAAACAAGATGGATGGAAGAGAATTGGATTGTCATTAGGAATTTAGAAAGAGAAACTAATAAATAAACATACCTTTCTCTCCCCTCTCTCTCTCCTTCTTTTACCTTTCATTTGGCTTGTAAGCCCTTGTTTCAGCTCGACAACCCCAAACATGTAAGTGCCTAATGCTAGGTCTTTTTCCTGTCCATAGTTCATAAGGGGTTTTGGTTACTGTTTTGCTTGGAACCCTGCTAAGGATATAAACTGCAGTCTTTGATGCTTTTCCCCAAAGCGATTCTTGGAGAAAGACGATATAATTATCTGGAATCGCACTTCTCGTTTCTCTAGTAGATCTCTTAATGACACTTCTTAAGGTTGTTGAGTTTGCTCTATAGGTGTTGTAGGGGAAACCTCATTGTTGTCTTGTTCTGGAACAATGTTAGGAACAAGAGTCTAATCATTGTTATTTTATACTGGAGTTGCATCTTGGAAAATGGCAGGAATAACAGCCTGGTCATTGCCAATAGCAATGTTGGGAAGAGAAACAAAATCCTCTTCCTCAAGACAACATTCCTTATTTTATCTCCCCCCCCCCCCCCCCCCCAAACTCAATATCCTTAAGGAATCTCCCGTTTCCCGTTTCAAAGAAGGACCTAGTGGTGGGATCGTAAAACTTAAAGCCCCGAGAGCGTTCAGTGTATCCAACAAAATAGCAACTAACCGTTCTTGAGTCAAGTTTCTTTTCATTTGGCTTGTAAGCCCTTGCTTCAGCTGGACAACCCCAAACATGTAAGTGTCTAATGCTAGGTCTTTTTTCCTGTCCATAGTTCATAAGGGGTTTTGGTTACTGCTTTGCTTGGAACCCTATTAAGGATATAAACTGTAATCTTTGATGCTTCTCCCCAAAGCGATTCTTGGAAAAAGACGATTTAATCATCTGGAATCGCACTTTGATACTCAGATAGCTTTAACTTTAGTGCCTTGAGTTTCCCAGCGAGATTAGACATCTCCATAATGTACTCCCTTATGTTCCCTTTTCCTTTATACTGCATGAAAATGAGTTTTGCCAAAACATTACTTGTTTCCACATTTTCATTCTTGGTAAAATATTGCTCAATTTCTGTGAGGAACTTCTTGGCATTAGTGCTCTCAGTAATAGAGCCCCAAAACGCTTCCGGAATGGGGCGTTTCATGATCATTAGACTCATGCGGTTAGAGCGAACCCACTTCTCAATTTTATCCGTGTTCGGATTTTCTGTAATGGAAGTGGGTCGCTCGATCCTTAGCGCATCGTCTAAGTCCATACAGCCGAGAACGATTTCCACGTTCTCTTTCCAGATCTTGAAATTCGTCTCATTCAGCATTGGGATCATACTTATTTGTGCAGAAACATTAGCAGCAATAGCAGAAACTGAATAGAGAACAAAATAAAACAACATACTCACAATCAACATTCATGTCATACATAAGCATAATTAAAGAATAAAAATGCACATATGACATAAATAAACAATCCGAAGGATGGTGGGCCCATTTCAAGATACCTAGCACAACACTGATATTTAGTCTTTAGACCAGAAATATCAGCCTGTAAGTGGTACTCTCCGTGCAGTAATCAAATATTGACAATAAATCCTGTCAAACAATATCCTTCCTTTGGGCCGACTATTGTTCACATGAAAAACCTTATAATTGGCACATATTTATTACCACATGTATACCCATTATTTAGCCAAATAATAACCTTCCTTTGGGCCGATCAATATTCACATAAATAACAGGCATACACATCTTTATATTCTAAAATAAATTAACATCCACAACAGAGGTTACTTTGACAACAATATTATTTCAATCAATTTATTTTCAAATACATGACAATTAAGTGCAATAATGATTAAATGAAACAAAATAAGGAACCGGAATTTCATTTTATTCAATTAAATCTTTAATTAATTTGCACTTAATTTCTTAATGGGTTAAAAATTGCCAAAAATCTCTAAAATTGGGTTTAAATAAACCCAATATTGCCAAAACATTGGCAATTATCCTTCTTTATGGCAACAAGTAATAACCTACGGCCCTTACTTCAAATGCACAAGCTCAATCGGGCATGTGCCTCCCTTTTCTGTCACGGCCCAAAATGGGCCCATGTCCCTTTTTTTTTTGTAGTTCTAGGCCGAAGCACAGAACTTTGGGAACCTTAGGGTCGCGATCACGACCCATCCCCAGATCTGGCGGCTGTCAGGCCGCCACTTCATGCAGCTATGGTTGTACACCATGGCTGTCCTGTCACCGGTGCGGCCAGAGGACTACGACCAGTCGTCCATAGTGCCGGCGACGGTAGATGTGACCGCCGGCCATGAAGAAGTTTTTTTTTCTTTTCCTTATGCAGCGGCCAAGGCCACCGCTGTTCGTCATCTCGCCCAAGTTTCCTCAGCAGGCTACGGCTAGCCCGTCAGTGTGGCCCAATGGTCGCGCCCAAGTTTCCTCAGCACCGGTGGCCAAGGCTGCCACTGGCCACAACCTTTAATCTAAAAAAAAAAATTCTAGAAATCCTATTTTACCAAATTTTCTTAATTCCTTATTTTTCCATAAAATCAAATTTTGTGAATAACTATTAATCCGAAAATTATTCAACAAATTCTGATCAAAATCAATCACCAAAAATTCATATGATTATCAATATACATGCTTTTCTCATCAAAATAAAGCATATCATAAATTCTATAGATAAAAGTAAAATCATATGAATCAATCAACATGATGTTCTACCAGAGATATTGGAGATGAGAAGTCTCTCAATAATTTAGTGTGATGACCACTCTGATACCACTTATTGGATCTTTAAATCCTTATCAAGAATCATTACACCAAATTACTAAGAAAATAGGTTAGAACAAATACTTGTCTCCATTGGCGCAGCCTTAATCTCCAGTAGAAATCTTTAAGACAACGAGCATGTCGAGTTATTGTCTTCCTTAGACAAATCACTAGATTCTTGAATGGGGTGTTTTCTCTCTGGATAGGGAAAAAGGAAAACGGCCGAATGATTTGACGTATTGGGGACCATAACCTAAGTTTCTTTATATACTGCCCCATTAGGCTCCCATTTAACCTAATTGGGTCAATATTGGGTATCCACCCATTTAGTCCATACCCAGTTAGGAGACTATTGGGCTCTCCACAATTAGACCAATTAATTAGCTCAATTAATTAAAAAGCATTAATATAATTATTATAAATATGTGGCCCATAATTATTATTAGGAAATATAATTTCCTAACAATCTCCCACTTAGGCTACATATGATTCCTAACACAATTATATCATACATAATTCATTAGGCATGCAACTGTATGCTATTTATCCTTAGTTTCCACTTACGGTACAATCTGGTCCATCTCTTATATTAGCATGGGATCATGGTGACTTTTGTCACTTTCAAAATGCAACTAAACCTTCCATGGTCACCATACCAACATATTCAATGACACAAATCGAGTATGGATGAGTGGCATGGAAATTACATGTAATGTGATCTCTAACATGCCTATTTCTAACTAGTCCTGCTTTATTCTTTATGAGATCAATCCGTAATTTTCAAAACATAATGCAAAATTACAAACAGAAAATTAACACATTCAGAGGGAAAACTATAAAACTATAAATCCATCTTCTTTATTCGGCAGAAAATAAACAAATAAATGTTTATGTCATAGAACATCCAAAAATCAACTCCCACTAAACCATAGTATCCTCAAACAAAATAACACTCATATGAGCAGTGTGCTCGTGAAAGGCCTTGGGCGTTAAGTTCTTGGTTAGCGGATCCGCAAGCATGGAGTTTGTCCCTATGTGTTCTATCAAAATCTAACCCTTCTGAACTCTTTCTTTAACAACTAGAAACTTGATATCAATATGCTTTGATTTCGTAGAGCTTCTGTTGTTATTGGAATACAACACTGCCGATTTGTTGTCACAGAATATCTTTAACGGCCTTTCAATACCATTAACCACATGCAGTCTCGTGACAAAGTTTCGCAACTACATCTCATGATTAGATGCCTCATAACAGGCTATGAACTCTGTAGCCATAGTAGAAGAAGCTATGAGTGACTTAAAAATTGGACTTTTGATTTTAGAACTCTTGAAAAACATCAGAAGTAGAAATAGCAAGAACAAGATGAGGTGGAAACAAGACGGATGAAAGAGAATTGGATCGTCATTAGGAATTTAGAAAGAGAAACTAATAAATAAACATACCTTTCTCTCCCCTTCTTTTTAACATTGACATTGATGAGCAGTTAGGTGAAAGGGAGCTCCAACTGATAGTATATAGCACATATTTTTATAACGTCGTATGTCTTCTTTTTAATCTTAATATCATTTATATTTTTATATTTTTATAATTTAAAATAAAATGATTATTATCACCTACCATCTAAACTTTAAAGTCTCTTAGTTTGCTCCTCCGAGTTTTAAAAACTCTACTTAACTCATTTGTTAGAATTTTTGTTAAATACAAATAAAAAAAAAGTAATATAGTCACATGCTCTTTTTATTTTAATATCACTTAAAAGTAAACGGATAAAAATACATGATCACAGTTAACCCTTTTTTTTTCAATTTGATTTTAATAAAAATTCATACATAAGGGCTTAACTGAGACTTATCTAAAATTCAAGGGACAAAATGAGAGTTTTTAAAATTTAGAGGGTAAATTGAAAATGACACTAAAGTTTAGGGCACCACTGGTAATAATCTAAAATAAAATTTTTAAGTAGTTAAAAGATGTTGACAGTTTAATAGTTAATTTGTACATGCTAATAATGGTTCGACTATAAGTCCAAATCAACCCGTTCGGCCATATATGATTTGATTTAGTTTGATTTATTTTAAAAATGTCAAACGGACCAAATCAATCAAAAACAAATTATATTTGATTTATTTTAATTCAGCTGATTGTTTTTCTATACAAATCAATCAAACCGACTATGAATACATGTCCTATTGATAATAATGTCTCAGATTCAAGTCAATCTTTTTATAATAAGTGGGATATAGCAACAGTTCAATTTGGGAGGGATTTGTAATCCACTTAGATATCCCTTGGCTCTCCAAGATCTTGGATAGATATGTCATCCTCTGCACTTGCAACCCTTTATCGTTAACAAAAACACAACAAACAACTAAACACAACTCAAGTAAAATGTAATATGTGTACATATAATAATCGACAAATATAAAAATAATGGATAAAAATCTTATGATTTTTTCTTTAAACCAATATCATGAATTTTTTTTCTTCAAACCTAACCCTTGAACACTTACGCACCCCTGATATCTTCTCTATTATGATATAGATATGTCGAATCATTTTATAAAAAGCTTTAAACAAGAAAACTAACCGACAGCAGAAAATGCATGCCCAACACTAATGAAAGCATATTTGTGAAAATCACCTTAAACATGATCATGCTCGCAAGGACGGTGAATGTCATAAACATAACGTAGCACACAGGAGATGTAACCGCTATATTGAAGGTGTCAAAGACCTGAAAAGATGCATCCAAATCAGAATTCATCCATCGATCTCTTGATGGGAGTGTATCACTATTATTAATCACTCACGACGAGGAGCGAATCTGTTTTAAAGATACTTCGGTTTCATTTGACGACGTTCTTCTGAATATTGATATTGTGCTTTTACATATTTTGTTGATGTAATTTGTGTTTTCAATTGTCTAATTTTATTGTCTCATATTTCCATTAATCTTTTTGTTTCGTTTTCTATTATTATATTTTTCTGACATTTAGACTTGGTTCTGGGAATAGTTTTGTGGTGTAACAAAAGAAAACCAATAGTTTTACTCTTAGCCACAGAAGTAGAGTACAAAATAACAAGCTCAGGGAAACACATAGGTGATATAATTGGTAAAAAACTTACACCATTCAATTGCTTACGCAATGTCACTTTATTACGATTTTAAACTTTAGTTATATCTATTGTTTCATAAAAAGAAAGTATCTGGGAGTGTATTACTACTTTCTTGAATAAAAGGTCATGTTACAAGAAGCAATAGAAATGCACCACGTCAAAATAGATGATCAAGTTACAGTCTTGTTCACCAAAGAATTGAACATCGAATGAGCTCCAAAAGTTTCAAAGTCAACCCAACATGCAAAGAAAAATGTGAAGAAAGCCACATGCTTCGTAAATTTTGGAGGCAAGTCTACTACTGCCTATATGTAAGGCATTCACCCAATGATGAAGCACCAAGAAGTGAGAAAAATACTTTATGACATGAGTGCAGTGCTTATAAAGAGTGGTCTTCCTTCTCTGTCTTATAGTGGAAGAGTTCTTTAGGTGACGTTTGTTTTGAGAGTTTTGTCTGATTTAAGATCATGGTTCGTGATTCTATTACAGTGTTTTTCTCTCACAAAAAATTTAAATTTTAAAAATCAGAATTATGAACTATAGTTCTGAACCTACGAATCAAATGTCACCTTAATCTTTTATTTCTTTCCCTGTGTGCCGAGAGCTAGTTTATATAACTAGTTGTTTTTACGATATATTTCTGAGAGAGAATTTGGCCTCTTGTAGTGGTGGTTATTTGTAAATAGAAGTTGTTATACTACCCAAGTGTTAGGTTCAACATATATGCCATCACAGGCTTATTATTATTATTATTATTATTTTCCCTCAAAACAAACAAAAAGATCTCATTTTAGATGAAATAGTACTCGCTTGAAATACAAACAGGATTCGCACTCACATAATTGACATTCTAATTCAATAGCTCTACTTAAGATGAGGTATAATAGTAGTGGAAACTAAGTAAAGATCATCCCTCCTTCTACAGGTTATTCCATATACGTCAGACATGTCAAGTTCTTCTCCTTTGGCACCATGTGGTAGTCCCCAGTCAAAGTGGTACAACATTTGAGCAAGTATTAGTTCAACATTTGCGAAAGCTAATGTTATGCCGGGACACATTCTCCTCCCAGCCCCAAATGGGAGAAACTCAAAGTTTGTTCCTCTCAAATCAATGGAAGAACCAATGAACCTCTCTGGCTGAAAGCATTCAGCATTGTCCCAAACTTCTGGATCTCTTCCTAGTGCCCATGCATTGACTGCCACTCGCGATTTCGACGGAATCTCGTAACCTAAAATTACGCATCTTTTCCTTGATTCTCTTGCTACAAAGGGAACTGGAGGGTGTAATCGGAGTGTTTCTTTCACAATGCATTTCATATAATCCAACTTCTGAATGTCACTCTCTTTGACTTTCCCCTTTCCTCCTACGACTTCTCTTACCTCGGCTTGTGCCTTCTCCAGTATTTTTGGATTCTTCACTAGTTCCGACATTGCCCATTCTAAGGTAGTTGCTGCAGTTTCACTTCCTGCTGCAAAGATATCCTGGAAAGTTCGAAACTAACACAAGTTACACCTTCCAAATTGTCACTCTTATACCCAGTTTTGTGCATAGGATTGAGGCAAAGGCAAGGCAAAGTAAGTAACAGATATAAAATAGTGCTATAGAATCTCAACTCTTTTACTGTTGTCATCTCTTCAATCTGTTAACATTAATAGACAAAGCATTTCTATTTGTTCCCATGGGGTTTCAACTCACACTATGATGTGTCAACTTTTAATAGGCTAAAATACCACTTTCAGCACTTTTTAAAAAAAAATTGGGGCCCACATACACGAATCAATTAAGATGAGTAGGTTTTAAGTAGGAATGAGGTTATATAACATTTTCTTAATAGACGTGATAATTTTTAAACACTTACGTACATATTAATAAAAGAATGACAATTCACATATCACATCAGTTAGTATTAAAAAGTCAGAATATGCAAAAGAAAAAATGAGCATAGAGTTCAAAAGATCATACCAGAATCACAAGTTTTATATGGTTGGTCGTGATTTCAAATTTTTGATCATTCAATTTCTGGACTTCCAGAAGCACATCAACCAGATCTTGCTTATCTTCCTCATCAACCTTGCTTGTGGAATCATGCTTCATCTTATGCTCATCAATAATGTCGTCAAGAATCTGGTACAATTTTTTTTGCATCCTCATAAGTCTAGGCTTCAAACCGGTCATGTAACTAAGAAACTTAATCGAAGGGAAGCAATCTGGCACAGTAAAGCCAGTACTAAGTGTTACTAACTCCTTCACAGATGCTATAAATTCATCTTCATCTTTGCATTTCTTATGGAACGCCGCCCTCGCAATCATGCCATTTGTAACCAAAAACAGCGTCTTGCTGAGGTTGATAGGTACTTGTTGATGAGAAGACGAGGATATGGACTCGATAAATCTCGAAGCCTCTTCTTCTCGTAACGATTGGAAAGACTGAACTCGCTTAGCACTAAGTAGCTCCATGACGCAAACTTTGCGCATATGTCTCCAGTATTCTCCGTAAGGAGAGACAATAAGACCCGGATGATCAGATGCCACTACTTCAAACCCAATGGTTTTTGGTCTTTGAGCAAAAGCAAGCTCATGAGTCTGCAAAACCTCTCTGGCTGCTTCTACTGAGGAAACTATAAATGTCAAAGCCTCGCCTAGTTCTAATTTCATGACTGGTCCATATTTCTTCGACAAGTCTCTGAAAGATCGATGGTGTAGCGGCGAACCAATCAACTGATGCAAGTTTCCGATAAAAGGAAGCTTCCATGGTCCTGGGGGTAGCTTAGAAGCTGAACTTTTTTGTGTTTTGAATCTTTTCCAAAATATCAGGAGTGGAAATAAGAAGAGGAGAAGTATAAGAACAAGGTGAAATATGGAGAGTTGGTACATTATTGTGTTTGGATATGTATTTGTACGCAAATTAGTCGAAGCAATACTACATAAGCTAGTTCTTCATCAACTTTCCTTGTTGGAATTGTTTGACGGCCCAAGAAATAATGTAGAACTATCCCTGACGTAGAAACATTACAAGAAATCAATTTGGCTTTAAGACCTCTTCTTGCTGTGGGGGGGAGGGGAAACAAGGATTTTTAAAGCCAAAAGCTATGCAAACGTTGTAAGTAATGTCCAAAAAGCAACGATTATTTTAAACCAGCAATTTACTAAATCTATATGCATGTAGCTCAAATCACACAGCTTGATATATTTAAGTTTTTTTTTTTTTTTTTTTTTACTGATAAAAAATTTAAAAAATAATTATCAGCGAGGGGAAAAAAGAAACTGAATGCATGATAGAGTTTTTCTTTTTTCTTTTTTGTTTTTTTTTTTCCTTTTGGATTAATGGATTATAGACCATCGGTAATTAGTATGATTTTATCAGAATAATATGGTGTTGCACTAACATAAAAGAAAATAATCGAAACTAGTGTTATTGTTTGAAAAAAAATTTAGTGCTATAAAAAATTTTTGAAAAAGAAAAGAAACTGCACTATACTTTTTGTTAAAGCAATGATCGGTAAAGTTGAGTTATGTTGTTGTACAAAACAATTAGCTGCTTCAGAAGCTTTTGTCCATTATTTTGGTGAGTGTTATTTTGCGCAGTTTCTTTTTTTTCTGTTTTTTTGAAACGTCCATGAACTGATTTTAATTTTTTTTTTTTTTTTTTTGAAATCTTATAAAATTTTGACGCCTCGCAATTCAAGATTCAATTATGATCAATGGTGGAGCCACTCATAGCTGAGTGAACCCATGTTAATGTACCCCAGTCAATTCATACAATATTCTTTTTGAAAAATTTGAGTTACACTCCACATATTATATAAATTCCAAACTCCAAACTTACAGAAGACAAATTATCTACGTACTCATGACAGAAAATGGACAAACTACTCTTATAAGAACAACATGCAATTGGTGCAGGCAAAAATAAAAATAAAAATATAAATCAACTGACTATAAAAATTTTAACGTCATTTAGAAGAATTCTTTCGCAAAGGCTTAGTTTAGTAGTGCTGTAGATTTTGAAAAATGTTACAAAAAACAGCTGAGTGTTTGGTAAACTATAATTATAGTAGCTATACTAATTCCAAAATCAATGTAATAGTATTTGGTAAATTATGAGGTTGAATTACTGTAGATAGTTAAAAATTACGACTATATTATATTATACTATAATATAATATATATAATTACAATATAATATATATTTATCA